GAAAGTGCATGCATAATGCATATCAGCGATGCGGATGTACTTTAGACCACATTATTTGGGCATTTTTTAAGCACCCAGGCTTGATGCATCAACGTCCCTTGTGTTTTTCCTTTTCTTCCCCAGCTAGCAGTCACCTTGACCTTTTGAAAGGTTAATTTGATATTTTATTCAAGTTTGCAAGGTTTGAAAATAGTTAAGCTCTCGGTAGCTGTGAATTAGCTCTCATAACAAGAGCATAGAAGCTTTGCCTACTGGAAAAATAGCTTAAACTAGTTGGATAGGCTCATCTGATTTGAGATTTTAGACACTTTCAGCTGGTCTGGTTGAGAAACCAGCTAGCTTGGCCAACTAAAGGTGTTATCTTTAGTTGAAGACTAACTTCAACCAACGGTGATCAGCTTGTTTTCTAGACATGGCCAAGCTAGTTTTTGCTGGTTTAGGTGGTCATCCAGTCTGACCAGCTGGCAAGTGTCAAAAACTCCTCTAAAACAGACCCGGTCAAACCAAATAAAACCAGCAATACCATCTTTAGTTGAATTTTATGGTTAACTGGTCCCTTAGCCTGGCCAAAACAGTTAGGCTGGTCTAATTAGATGTTTTAGAAGGACTTTTGACTGGGTGACCACCTAAACCAGCTAAAGAACAGTTTGGCCATATTGGGAGACCAGTTAAACCAAATAAATCCAGCAATACCATCTTTAGTTACATTTTATGGTTAACTGGTCCCTTAGGCTGGTCTATTTAGATAGTTTTAGAGGAGTTTTTGACACTTGTCAGCTGGTCAGACTGGGTGACCACTTAAACCAGCTAAAGGCCAGCTTGGCCATATTGGGAGACCAGTTAAACCAAATAAAACCACCAATACCATCTTTAGATGGAAATTATGGTTAACTCGTCCATTAGCCTGGCCAAACCAGTTAGGCTGGTCTATTTAGATAGTTTTAGAGGAGTTTTTGACACTTGTCAGCTGGTCAGACTGGGTGACCACTTAAACCAGCTAAAGGCCAGCTTGGCCATATTGGGAGACCAGTTAAACCAAATAAAACCACCAATACCATCTTTAGATGGAAATTATGGTTAACTCGTCCATTAGCCTGGCCAAACCAGTTAGGCTGGTCTATTTAGATAGTTTTAGAGGAGTTTTTGACACTTGTCAGCTGGTCAGACTGGGTGACCACTTAAACCAGCTAAAGGCCAGCTTGGCCATATTGGGAGACCAGTTAAACCAAATAAAACCACCAATACCATCTTTAGATGGAAATTATGGTTAACTCGTCCATTAGCCTGGCCAAACCAGTTAGGCTGGTCTATTTAGATAGTTTTAGAGGAGTTTTTGACACTTGTCAGCTGGTCAGACTGAGTGACCACCTAAACCAGCTAAAGACCAGCTTGTCCACATTGGGGAAACCAGAAAACAAGCTGAACACTAGCTTTCATAGGTGAGGAGTCAAGTTAAACCAGATCAAACCAACAATGCCAACTTAGCCAAGTTTTTGTACCTGGTAAACCAGACTAATATGGTTAGCTGCTCTCTCAACCTGCATGGCCAAACCAGGTAGATGGTTTTAGAGGTGATTGAGGCTTGTCAGCTGGTCAGACTCAATCTAAACTTGGTAAAAAAAACAACTATAACTTCAATAGACTGGTTTAAGTTATAATTTTTTGCAACTTAGCTGGTTAGGTTTGTGTGTTTTGTTGGTTCAGAGAGGCTTTGTGCAGTTTGTTTTATTATCCTAGCTAGACGATTATATGGTTCATTGCATTTTATTGTTAGCATTTAGCACTGTTTTTACTGCTATCTGTGACCCATCAAAACAGGCCTGTTGTGGCTCATTTTTGGGTTGTAAGTTGTAACCCACTAGTTTGGAACCACTAATCAAGAGTATCATAAGACGTGGGCTATAAATTAAGCATGTTGTGTGAGTTCTTTCTCCATTATGAACTGTTCATGATACTGCTTAGTAAGAGAGGAAACATGCACTCTTCTCATTAGACATGCTAATTTAGTTTTAAAGGGTGGAGAAACTACTTAGGCTCTCCTTTGATCGTTATTCATCAAAGCTTCGAAATGCACGAGCAGGTTGCGCTTGTACTTGTGTGGAACGTGCCAACAAAATTGTTTAAAAGATTCACGTGAAAAATGCCCCACTCGTTTGTGCAAATGAGCAACAATGCCGTTTCCCAGAGCTTACAGTTCAGCCCATTTCATATGCATGGGATTCAGCTCATATGCCTCTATCTCCTACCCTATCTTGCAAATGAGAAAGGTTATCTCACTCGCAGCAACTGATGAATGAATGAGCGTGCAGAGGTTTAGGCCGTCATGCTCCTCCAGGCTTCAGGCCAGGTGAGACATATCCTGTGGGCTTAATATTTCGTACTCTTAAAGGGGAGAGACTCCCACTGAGATCAGATCCGGAACCTTCCGCAGCGCTGCAGGATCCTGCCGGCTGGAAGCCCTTTCAGCGAGGAGTGAGTGTAAAATGGAACAAAGGCGATTACACACTGTTCTTTGCTCTCAGTAACTATGGTAGGTAAAAATATAAAAACAGCTGTCATACAGTTTCCTAAATCAGTAAATTAGGAGGAAAATTAGAGTTTAGTCTGACAAAAATTCTAATTATGAAGTACTATTCTAAAAGTTAATGTTATATATTAAAAGTAGAACAATTTTATTTGACTAATTTAGTGATATTCTTTTTGTGAGCATTTGAACAGACTACACTGCAGAAATCTATCAATTTGTTTTATTTATTTTTTTATTAGCTTTTTATTTTACTTTATTTAAAAATGTGCATTCGACCTCATAGTTAATCTGTCTGCCGGTTTTATTTGTTGTATTAAAAATGCATTCCATCTCCTAGTTTATCTGTCTCCATTGTTTTCAAAAGTGTTTTATTTATTTTAAATATGCATTCTTTCTATCTCCTAATATATCCATTCCTATATTATATTTTTATATTATAATTTGTATTATTTTATATTTTATAATTTGCCTTTAAAAAATTGCCTATTTTATAATGTTAAAGGGGGGGGGGCAATAAATGTTAAAATTATTGTATTAATACAATCTTAATTAAAATATCAAACTAATTATTAAATCAATATTTTAGTAAAGTTAAAATGAAAAAAAAAAAACTTTATTTTTTAAAAATACATTAGTTTTGTAAATAAAATAAAATAAAAAAAAAATATATATATATATATTTTAAAATTATAATTTATGTATTTATGAATGATGTGTTGGACAAAAGGGGCTCCTTGGGTTCAAAAACAACTGAGAACCATGATCTAGCTCAAATCTTCTAAACTTGGTAATATCCTCTTTGTTTTATTTGCTACTTGAGCATTTGTCCATTACATTTACTGGATAGATGCGGTGATGCCTTCAGCTTGGCCCTTAACATCAGTAAAGAAGAAGATATAAGCAGGGAAGAGGATAGTTTCAAGCACTGGAAACGGCGCCCCTGACTCAACATTTCCAGGAAGTCGAAGACCCTCTAAACTCTCAGTGGAGCCTTCATGATCGTGGGGAGATATGTCAGAGTTGACATTTAGACATTTTGAGGAGGTTGATGTAGAAGATGTCTGTTTTTGGTGCAGGAGTGGGGGTGGCTGCGCTCAAAGGTTGTTTGAACGAGCGTGAAATGCGATACTGAGAGGGCTAGAGGTGGTTGTTGTTTGCAGCGATATAGCTGCACTGGGAGTAGGTGTTGGAGTCATTGGCATACAGATGGTTCTGAAAGGAAGCCCTTCATTGGGCAAGTGAGGTAGCTGTGGGTGGAGGTGCTATCCAGTGCCAGTTTTATGTGGGTTTGACCTCACACCCTTCTGTCTGTCCAGTTAAATGTATGCAACAATAATTCCATATGTTACTGAGCATCGAGAATATCCTTTAAGAAACCCTAATATGCTTTACTCGCACACAAGGTCCAAATTATTGCTAATGAGGGGTGTATTAAGAAAATTTACGGGCAAATAATTATAATATATATTTTTAAGTATTTAAGCATTTCTCTTTCACAGTCTTTCACACTCAATCAACGCCAATATTATGGGTTCAGATTTCAGTAAACGTAACCTTGAATGCTTTAAGTCACTTCAGATGAAAGCATCTGCCAAATGAATGTTTTTTTTTTAATGCATTATTTTGCAGTCTTTTACATACATTTTCATAGTTTTTACATGCGTGGCTCTAGCACCGGCAATGTTATTGGTTCAATTTCCAAGAAGTACTAATAAAATGTAAACACTGAATGCATTTTATGTCACTACATAAGTCCAGATAAGTCCACATTTGTTTCTTTGTAAAACTGTGCCTGTGACAAAATGTTTTAAGATTTTGTGATTATTTTTATTGCCTAAACTGTCTTTAGATAAACATATGATTTGTTAAGACTGAAGTAAAAGCTGTTATATGTGCTAGTCATGACATTTTTTCTTTAGTAGACAGGTTGATTCTTTGATTCGCTTATGTCAAGTTCACTCATGTCCAACTAAGTTACCAAGGTATCAACTAAATTATCCATTTTAAATTGACCAGTTTATTTACTTGACAATTTTACTTATTTTTTGCGAGAATTAATTTTAGACTGCACCGAAATATTATGCCACATTACATCACATCTTGCGGCTTAGTTTTTGCCTTAATCCAGAAGCTCATGTTTTGTTTGACTTCATTTGTGGGGACTGTGATCGCCCTGGGCACCAGTGGTGAATTTGGCACGCTGAATAGCTGGACAGACATGGCCAGGAAAGGGCTGCAGTCCAGAAAGCATTCGTACACAAAGCCCTTTGCACAGAACCCGCTCTGGCTGCAAAATGGAACCACGCCAGCAGCTCTCCAGGCCTTGGTTGACTGATGGGTGCTGGAAAAGTCGATGTTTTGTAGGATAACGGTGTCCTTCACCTAGTTTTCTGCTGGTTTTCTAAATGGACCTTCTTGGCATTGTGTGCATGTGATGTGCGTCCTCACTAAGAACTCTATTGTGTTGTGGCAGGAAACTGGAAAGAGTGGTGTTTAACTGCAGCTGCAATATCCGTTGGATCCAGCTGTGGCAGCAGCGAGGCGAAGCCGGACTCCATAACCAGCAGCTGTTCTGCAACAACGGAGTCTCCAAGATCCCTCTACAGCTCATGAACATCTCACATTGTGGTATGGGACATTTTCTCTAAATTGTGGTCACCATAAAATAAATGTCTTGGGTTCAATAAAGGGATAGTATATCCAAAAATGATAATTGTCATCATTTACTCACCATTCTAAACCTGTATGACTTTATTTCTTTTGTGGAACACGAAAGAAGATATGGCCACACTTTATTTTAAGGTCCAATTCTCACTATTAACAAACCATTAACTATGACTTTTGCCTCAATAAACTCCTAATTTGCTGCTTATTAATAGTTAGTAAGATAAGTTTAGGTAGGATTAGGGATGTAGAGTATGGTCATGAAGAATATGTGCTTTATAAGAACTAATAAACAGCCATTATGTTAATAATATGCACGCTAATAAACAACTAGTTAATAGTGAGAATTGGTCCCTATATTAAAGTGATATTTTCCAACAAAATGGTCTAATTGTTTTGGACCCCACCGATTTTCATTGTATGGACAATAACACATTTTTCGAAATTCTCTTTCATGTTCTGCGGGAGAAAGTCATAAAGTCATACAGGTTTGGATTGACATGAGTGAGTAATGATGACAGAATTGTCATTTTTGGCTAAAAAAAAAACGAATCAACCGCATTTGTAGCAATTTTGATTACCACAGAAAATAAATGTGTATATTTTTCTAATTTTGTGGAAAACGTTCCTTAAAAGAATACTGTAGCTCTAAAACTTAAACAATTGTAAATCTTAACATGAGCCTAGTGTGGTAAAATTGTTTCCTGATGTTGTTTGAGTAAAATTATAGCCGGTGCTTTAATGTAATGACCTTAAAAAGGTATTTTTAAAGTAAGGGACGAATCGAATCGACATAATGAAATTCTTGCCACAAATGCTGTCAATAGAGCTCAGCTCAGCCATTTCATTTATTTAGATTAACTTGAACATATTTATGTTAAAAAGCATAAATACCTTTTGTTGTACCATGACTGCTTGTCTATTTCCCACCAAGATTTGCCGGAAATCAGCGTAAGTCACAGTAACCTGACGGTGATAGAAGGTGACAGGGTCACAATCACCTGTAATGGGTCAGGAGTGCCGGTACCGGAAGTGGACTGGACTGTTGGTGGACTGCACTCCATTAACACACACCAAGTAAGGCAGACTTTTGCTTGTAGCATTTTGACTAGCAATCAACATGCATTTTATGTACCTTAAAAAGGATATTAGTAATGGTAGATGGCATATTTAATTTAGTAGAACAAACAACTTTGGAAAACATGGGTCTAAACCAGCTAAAAAAACAGTTGGGAAGTAAACAAGCTTAAACCAGTTTAAACCAGCCATATGTGCTTTTGAAAGTGAAAAGTGAATGTGAAGTGACATGTGGCCAAGTATGGTGACCCACCTACAATCTACAATCCCTGCTGGTACGAGACTCGAACCCACAACCTTTGGGTTACGAGTCCGACTCTCTAACCATTAGGCCACGACTTCCCCACGACTTTTGCAGCTGGATAGCCAGTAATGGAGCGTAACGTTAGTTCTGGCAGGTCACGTTAGTCAAGCTCGCATCAGCTGACACTCAGCTGATCCACGTCTACCTATAGGAATACGACGCCAATCATAATTCCCTTTATAAGGTCCTTTCAGTCATTGTTCAGCAACTATCGCTTTGCTCAGGAGCTAATCATCCACCTCCATCCCCAACTCCTCCTCTCGTCCAGTCAGGACTTGGCATTGGATATTTCTTCGAGTTAGACCACTGAATTATGTTGATATATAAAATAATCACTTAGAACATTGATGATATCTGCTACATTAATCATTAATGTTGGTTCTGTTCAGTTTATCCTAGGGGGGTTATTTATGCTCTCCCTGCTCCTATCTATGCTAAGCTGCATGGATGATCAGGGAGTGTTGCCCAGAACAGAACCATACCCCCAACCTAAAATGTATGCTAATTGTAAGTTATCTTTGACGATAGTTGTCCTGACAGAACTACCTTTTTAAATGGACTATACGTCTATCCCTAACAGTCTGGTTTTGTTTAAAATTTAATTTGGCATTTACTCAATTTAAGATCTATTAAATGACTCACTTGAGCCTTACAGTGACTGGTTTACACCATAAACCATTTGTTGAATCTGTGCAAGCTTGGTTGTGTTTCCAAAAGCTATTGTGTCTTTCTCTCTTCCAGTCCAATCAATATCCACCGAATGTCCACTCCATCAACTTAACTCTGGTCAACGTCAGCAGAGACGATAACAGCTTCATGCTGACCTGCATTGCAGAGAATATAGTTGGGATGACTAATGCCTCAATACAGCTTTCAGTACAGTGTAAGTGCCTCTTTTCTTGCTCCCTGCCTCTCGAATATCTTTACATTCAGCCTCACTGCCTCTAGCGTGCCAATTCTGCTTCTGTCTAGCTCACTGAACTGGCTTTGTTTGCCTCTTTAGCTTGTTACTGTCACTTGCTACTGTGCCTCATGGCTTCCAACTCAGTTTCTTAATTTGTATTGCCTTTTATTTTAAAGGTAGGTGTTTAGGGAGGGGATCACCAGAAAGCTTCTTTTTTTTTTGAAGTAGTAAGTACTATTGATCGAAATGGCTCTGGGAAACATAGAATCAATGCTATTGCAAGGTAGAGGTGAAATGTGTAATTTTTGTTATTAAAATACTTTCTATTATTGTAGCATATATGCACCTAAAAGTAAGCCATTGTGGCGGTTGATTTTGCTCAAAAGTGTAAATATTGTGGCTGTTTGATGCTTTCAAAACATCGCTGTTTGTTTTAGGATTCTGACCTCCTCAGCATAGCAACTGGCTCAGCCAATGATCTGAGTTTGGGGTGGAGCTACCTGACTGACTGACCAATGACAGATAGAGAGAGGGTGTTCTGGAAACCTGTTTGACAACAGATTGTTTTAACACACTTTTACGGCAGTTTGTAACTATTTTACATTTTAGTGAATTGGTAGCTAATTCTTATGACAGTCTTATTTGTATGTTTTCGTCCGTTCTGCTTACTCCTCACTGTCACTTCTGTTTAGGGGTGGCCCTTTATGCTTACATATTTATTTCTCCCTAAAAAATTTTTCCATACAAATCATGTTATGAAATCATACAAAATCACCACCTTTAGGTTTTCTCATGAGATCGGGTTGGATTGTTTTGTTTTTTGGATTCGTTTAGTGATGTTAGAGGCAGAGAAATTACACACTGCCTTTTGAATGTTGTTTTGAATATTAGTTGTTAATAAAGAATAACAATTTGGTCCCTCAGTAAATTCTCTTTGCCACCTTGAAGAATTCTCAGTTACTTAAAGTGTAGATAGACGGCCGGGAAGTAAGGAAACACACAGTCAAATGTATCCTCAATACTTCAATTTATTCATAGAAATACAGATATTATATAGGCATATGTCGAGGGGAGTTTCACCCTCTTAACCAATGAGGATATGAATAACATACACGTAGGATCTTTGGCCAAGAACATGTGTTTATATAAAATGGCCACATGTACAGAAAAACATGGACATATTAGGAATAGACTTTTGCGAAGAATGCTGAACTGTCTTCATGGTTTCATCACAAACTCCTTTACCCTTGTAGTCCTAACATTCATGTCCTTATTTGGGACATTTGAAACAAGAGAAGCTAATGTATACATTTAAGCATGCATACTTCGCATATAAGTAAGACATATTTAAAACATAATATCAAGAGAGAGAGATGGATACAGAAGGGGGATTCAGAGAGAATGCGTTGTATATAGAAGACTGAGAGAGAGAGGGAGAAAAAGGAGGGGTAAGGCATGTCTGGAATCAACAGAAAGACAGAGAGTGTTTTCTAACATTAGTTCACTGTTTTATAATTATTAGTATTTTAATTTAGCCAAATTTGTGCAAATGACTGCTTTGTCAAATCAAATTCTAAAAAAATCACAGTGAGGCTAATGAAATTGGTTATAAAATAATGATAAATTGCTTCACCTGAAACAGTCCTACTCCTACAAAAAAGAAATCTTAGGTTCTACACAACCCAGCGTGTTGTAGGAACGTCATTTGTGTAGTTTATTGATCTATGAAAGCGAGGGCTGTTCTTCATCTGGACTTTTCACACGAAAAAAAGGCTGTAAGTGAAATATTAGAGAGATTTATCAATGTTATCATGTTTCAGTGTGGAGCAGACTACATGTGATTGCTTTGTGGCAGAGTTAGGTGGTGTATTTTCTGTGTTGGGAATGGTATGCGGGAATCAGACACTTGAAAATGTTCCAGTTTTTGTTCACTTAAAATGTGTTTTGTTCCTTATATTACACTTGGGAAAAAAATCAATGCACATTGCATTTTTAGCGATAAGAAAACAGGAAGTTTATTTTTCCCATATAGGGGCAGGCATGCAAAAATAATGTCCCAAATGAAAAAGAAAATGAAAGAAACAACAATCCTGAGGCAATAAGCAACTCATGAAAATTGGCAAAAAGAAACTATGCCTCTAATCAAACATATAAATCCTACCCCTGAGTAACAATAACCAAACAAATCCAAAAAAAGACAATGAAAGGCAGAGAACAAAGACAAACACTGCCTTAAACAAGGATCATATATAAAGACATGACTCTACCAAAAAACACAACAGGATAACTGAAACTTTGGTTTATCTAATTAAACGAAACTAGCATATAAATCTTAACTCCAGAACAGACTAACCAGTGTGCTCATCTTTTGTGCCTTGTTAAAACTATTTGAGAACTCAAATTATGTTTCTCAATGTGTCACAATAAAATGATATAGCGATTAAAATGTTAATTCAACTGTTGTCAGAATCACCTGGTAAGCCTGTGATGCTTTGCCATTAAGTAAACTAAATGGAAAAAAATGAAAAAAGAACTGTGTCTACAGTTAGAAAACACAATACAACAACACAATATCCAACAATAGCTGTTTCCTCCCACTTGGAATGAAGTAAGGCAATTAAAGACCTTATAAGAACACAGCTAGATAAAATTACAACGTGATGTGAGGTTGCGATTTTGTATCTGTATTTACATTTATACTGAAAGGTGTTGGCCAACAACAGTGTAACATGATTCTTCCCACACTCAATATCTATTGACCGTGTAAGATTTGCTTAGAGCGGCAAAATCTGTGGAAATAAGAGAAAGTCAGTCAGTCTCTCTCACTCTCTCTCTCTTTATTTGTCTCTCACAATCTCCGGCTTTGAGACTGGAGAATAATAAAAAAAATACTTGATGTCAATTAATTAAAAGGTTTAGGTGTAGTAATGCAGACTCCAAACATTTGAATAGTCCTGTATTATAATTTTTAAGCTTAAAATTACTTATTCTAGAAGAAATTATGTGTATTCACGTAAGTAAAAATGACACATTGAGGGTGTTTTCACATATGATTCGTTTTAAAAGAAACAAACCCAGTTCACTTAACGTGAACCAGAAAGGGAACCAGCCGAAAGTGACCTCAGTCCTTTTGGTGTTCACAATCTAGTGGACTCAAAAGAGAACCCAATTCTTTTTTTGGTCCTCATCAGCAATGAAGAGATCTCAGACCCTTTCTGGTTCACACCACAACTTTATAAGTACTCAGACCCCAGCTTTCTGTGCAGCAGTGGATTTTGGGTATTCAAGATGGCGTCTTCACATGTTGTCATCACATGGATGTGGCACATTTTGAAGCAAATGACAAACAGAGAAAGAGTCAGACAAAGCAGAACTAAAGGAAATCATCTGACAAAACGGAAGAGAAAAGGATAGCAACTGAAAATAAAATTTTCTTCCAACACTATCAACAACTGCTGCTGCTTGCCACAGGACTGCTTGTGACGAAATAAACACTTTTATGTTTTTATGGGTTGAGGAGAGTTGGCGTTTAATGTAATCATCTTTCCAAATTTCAATAAGTGCACAACTCTCCTCCCTGGGACCACACAACCCCACGACCTGCCATGGTGAAAAGTTTTTTCTGTTGTTACAGCAGTGACGTAACATGGCTGCAGGTATGGCAAGCCTCCAGGTGCACATGTTGAAACGGAACGCAAAGCGGACCGGGATCTCGTTGCTTTCGCATGTCACGAAGATATTGAACCACAAACGGACCCACAAACGAACTGTACTCAGACCACCTCCGGAGGTGGTCTAAGTACGGTTGGCTTTTGGGTCCTTTTAGGGGGGTCTGAGATCACATGGTTTGTTCACATATACACGCTGAACCACTCCGAGAGCGTTTGAAAGCGTTAAACGAACTAGGTGTGAAAACACCCTGAAATGAATTAACCACTGATTTGATCCCTGATGAATGTTTAATATGAACATTTGACATATTTACAGCATCATAATTGTTGACAGTTACCGTCAAACATACGGTGGGTGGAAAAGATGATGGAAACGTTTATGGGCTGCAGTTGTTTCCCACCTTTGGGTCTGCGCCTGCATTCCATGAAACATCCGCTCGTCCAAATACTTGATGACCAGCCAGGCAGTTAACCTGGGATCTTCCTGTCCAAGAGGCAGGATAGCGGATCAAACAAATATCCGTATGGACCACCTGGGCCGCAGAGGCCAAAGTCCCACTCATGCATAAATGCGGTTTATGATAATCCATGCTCATTGGTCTATGGATTTATGTTGGATGGTGGCACAAAGTACTTAATCCTCTCTGTATAAAAAGTATTTTGTTTCCCTCCTGCAGTTCCTCCTGTTATCATTAAGTTTGAGGAGCCGCAGAAGTGGCACGACACGTGTATGATCTTCACAGTGCGTGCAAACCCCCTGCCCACCCTGCGCTGGTACTATAAGGGTGAAGAGATCAAGCCGACTGAATACGTCCGTCCAGAGATGGATGTCTACCAGGACAATCTAGAGGGATGCCTCATGTTCAAAAACCCCACACACCACAACAATGGCAATTACACGTTGGAGGCCAGCAACTTCCTGGGCGTGGCCATCAAAACTGTGTACGCCCACTTCCTACGGCCACCTTTTGATGGTACGTGACTCGATTACATCGCATGTTATTCTAAAACCTATAGTTACATAGTGTTTCCCAATGAGTGAACTGTCAAATATAACTGGAAACATGTTTTCCCCCAAAGTGTTGTCATACCTGCAAAAAGTACTATGTTGATTTTCCACCTGTGGGAAATAAAAGTCTAGTTCTCTTGTTCTGGGCAAGCATTTCTATGATTAGAGCTGTTAGGTCACAGATGTCGTGTTGAGAAACAGAACAGTCTGGATGTCGTTTAAAGGCCCTGCCTGAATAACTTATTAACACCCGAGGTGAGAATCCAACAGGTTTATAGATAAATATAGATACTTGGAAAGTTCACATTTCTTGGGATGATGCTACAGCGCACATAAGTGTGTGAGTGTGTGCAATGTCATACCGAAAGACTTAGGTTCAGTCTGTGCTTTAAATAGGTATGTATAAGTAAAGTTAGAGTGAAAAGTCTGATACCACACACACACACACACACACACACAAACTGAGGTTTTACTATTTATTTAAAGAATGAATTTAGCTTTTTTTTTTTTTTTACATGAAATGATTATTAAATTATTAAATATATATATATAGATATATATATACTGTATGTGTGTGTGTATAATTTTTATGAAATTAATTAATGAGGTGATTATTATTACATGCTTATTACATTTTAAAATGTTAAATATGTTATAAAAGAAACAGCCATTTTAAATGTTAATAAGTGTAATGAATCAGCTCATGGGGAAATATGAACAATTAATCATAACTAGTTATAATTAATTATAAATATTTAGATCCGCTGTAGATATTTAGCTGACCTCTCAGGGTCAACTGTCTTGTCAATTCTAAGAAAGTTAATTTCCTGGTTAAGGGAAATAACTTCCTTACTGTACAATTCTACAAAAGCTTGTAGCATAAATCTGCATGATTAAGTGACTCCAGTTATGAGCAAACAATGAACCACGTCAAGTGTGATACAAGTAAGGTTCTGTCAGGACCACTATCGTCAGAATGATAGATACTTAGCATAAAGTTTGGTTTGGCGGTACGGTTCTGTTCTGGGCAAAAAACCTCCCTGCCCATCCATGCAGCCTGTCATGAATGAGCAGGGAGAGCAGCAATAATAACCCCCCTAGGGTTAACAGAACAGAACAATGCAGATATCATTAATGTACTCAATGATATTTAAGTGTAACACTTTATTCAAGATAAAGGAGTCTGATTAGCAAGGAATATCAGAAAGCTAAGTCCTGACTGTGGCGAAAGGTATAGGTGTCGTAGGTAGATGTGATCAGCTGAGAATCAGCTGATGCAAGCTTGACTCACGTGACCTGCCAGAACTAACGCTCTAACGCTAATTCTGTCAGGACCACTATCGTCAGAATGATAGATACTTAGCATAAAGTTTGGTTTGGCGGTATGGTTCTGTTCTGGGCAAAAAACCTCCCTGCCCATCCATGCAGCCTGTCATGAATGAGCAGGGAGAGCAGCAATAACCCCCCTAGGGTTAACAGAACAGAACAATGCAGATATCATTAATGTACTCAATGATATTTAAGTGTAACACTTTATTCAAGATAAAGGAGTCTGATTAGC